TAATATGTGCCAATCAGATGGGCAAAAAGAATGGTTTCTCACTGAGGTTTAAATTGCATTTCCCTAGTTCTCAGTGTGAGGGGAAGGGATCTGGTATAATTTTCAGTTTGGTGGGAAGGCATCAGAGGCTTCCAAACAGGAGGATTATGTGATTGGAGCTGTATTTTTAAGGGATCATTTTGGCTTGAGAAACTAGACTCCAGGACAAGGATGGAGCAGGCAGATGAGTTAGAAGACAATTACGTTGGTCTCCTCCACCCTTTTCTTAACATATTGGAGTTCAGCTCTGGCTGTACTAGTTCTAGATGTCCTCAGACACACTTGTATAGAGCTTCTGTTGGGTATTTTGGGTATACAGATGATCCATCTTGGTTACACAGATGATTTAGATGATTGTAGACATAAGAGGCTTGTCTGGGAACCATTCCCAGACAGGGAAGCATTCCCTGAGATAGAGGAGAGGAAGGCTGAAGGGGAGGAAGAGAGTACCTGTTGCGATCTAGATAGAGACATCCAGCAGGAAGTTGGATACAAGTATCTGAAACTCTAGTGAAAGTTATGTGTTGGCAATAAGCACCTGGGCGCTATTAGCTTGTACTTGACAGTTGAATCCATGGGGCTAGAGGAGAAAAACCAGGGTAAGTATGGAGAATAAGACCAAGAACATGCACTCAACGTTACCGAAATTAAAGAGTGATTTGAGAAAATTAATGAGGAAAACAGAGATTGGGAAAGAATAGAGCATTTCAATGAGGAGAGATGCCAACACTGTTACATTTGACACAGCGGTCAAATGAGTTGAGGTCTGAAAAGAGCTCAAGCCTTGGCCATGGTGTGAAGTCAGCAACAATCTTTGTCAGGGCATTTCAGTAGAGAGGTGGGGGTGGGAGCTTGGTAGTGAAGGCGGCAATTGCTGTTTACTCTTTCAGGGAGTTTGACTCCAAGGGAAAGAGAAACTAAAAGCAGCAGAGGTGGGTTTGTGTTTGAAGTAACGGTGGTGAACCAGGCAAACAGCCTGGAGGCCGAGTGAAGTGAGACTGGACACTGCAGATTTGGAATGTCACCAGTCTGCACTACTGAATAATTTCCTCTAGAACTGCTCAGTTGCCCAGTTGTAAGAACAGGTATGTAGACCAAAAGTAGAGTGTCACCAGGGTAAATTTTATAGAGACAAAGGGGTGTGTTTATTGAAGTTGTGGCAAGGAATAATTACAAAGATATACTATTGTTGCATTGTCCAATATAATAACCACTAGCCATATGTAACTACTTAAATTTCAATTAATTAAAATTAAATAAGATTAAAAATTCAGCTTCTCAGTCATACTAGCTACGTATCAATTGCTCAATAGCCACAAGGTCTGGTGGTTATCATATTGTTCAGCACAGAGACAGAGCATTTCCATTATCACTAAGAGCTCTTGTGGAAAACACTGCACTACAGGGTCTGGATAAAGCTGAGGTGTTGATGAAGTTGAACAACAGATGTAGAAGGAGTAAGCAAGAGCAAAACCTGGATGAACAGCAGGTTGTGGACAGAGATTAGCATATTGAGATTAAGATTCTAGGGACTGAGCTGCTCCAGGTGAAAAGATTCAGGGTTATGTCATATGAGGGTGGAGGGCAGCTGCTGAAATAGTCTGTGGGTGAAGACCTGTGGAGTTGACAAGATCAAAGAAATTTGAGGCAAGTTTGTTAGACTCATTCATAAAGAAGTCACCCAAATTGTTAGCAAGACCTTGCATCTAATGCCAAAATCCTCACTGAGCAAGGTGGTAGTAATTTAGTAGCTAAAAGCAATGAGAGAGTCAGACACCTCAAAAGGGGAGGGTGTTGCTCAAAGGCCCCATGAAGTGTGATAAAACAAACAGTAGCTGGGGCAGGAGCAAGTGGCTTCCTTTGGGTGAAGCCAGATTTCACTGAAATAATAACCTCAGGGAAAACAGTCAATGAAGGGGTTAAAGTTGTAGGAAAGTTTCCTTGTAGTAATTAATGGAATGAGGCGTCCAAAGGGCCAAATAAAACTCTGGAGGAAGTTTAGTAAAAGAAGGAAACTTTTTTAGTACAGATAAGCATAGGAACATAAGAAGAGATAATTCTTAAATATATAAGGTATGCATTTGGGGATAGTAGCCAGGGAAGACTGAAGTCCCAGTGGGGTGAGAGACTTCGTAAGGTTAGCAAATTACAGTTTTTGAGTGGCATTCCAACAGTAGAGTATATTGCTCAGGAAGTCCTTAATTATCCTTTGAAACAAATTCCTTCAGCTGATTACGAAGGAATCTAGCTGGATTCTTGAGTGACTTGTTCCTGACATCATAGCAACCCGTAACTAGACTTCAACCATTCCTCTTACCCAAGTGCTGGGGAAGGGAGAGATTCTCAACGCTTACCCACCTATGGAGTCCCAGCCAGTCCAGTTGCTAGGTGGCTTGAGGTCTGGGGTCATAAAATGGAAGGCCTAATGCCATTTGGTGATCACAGACCTTGAGCCAAACTTTCCCCATTTAGTCAGAGAAAGGATTAGCATGCCTAACTGTGTGTGAGAGCATGGAAGCCAGTGGTTGGTGAAGTGCTATGGAGTATAAATTGCAAAATACTTTCAGTTCCACTCGGAATGGATTTCAGAATGATTTCCACCCCATGGGGAGGAGAGGGAGTCTGGGGAGGGATGGATGGAAAAAATTATTTCCTGTCATTTTCTGTGATCCACTCTGAAGACAGAGGCAGAGATTCTCTACAGCAGCTGCTCAAACTTTAGCTCTTGTTAAAATGGAGGTTCTGAATCAGTAGGTCTTGGGTGGGGCCAGAGATTCCGTGTTTCAGACCAGCCCACAGGTGACGTGAATGTCACTGGTCCGTACATCACGCTTTCAGTTGCTAGGTGAAGAAGAGAGCACTCGATGAGTGGAAGAGAAAGTCGTTGTAATCTTTGGGAAGAGGGGCTTGAGTCAGCGGAGTTAGACTGGTCTGTGAGTGAAGAGAATGGATGGGAAGGAAAGAAGATACTGTGAGGCTCTACTGAAAAAAAAAAAAATGTAAATCAGGAAGACAGAAGCAGCTAAAGACGAAGTCATTTCCAGGCCCAGAAGGCACAACTAACAGCTGAGTAATAACATAACATTGACTGTTAACTGGCAGAATTTTTAACTGTGTGTTTGGTTACTCCATCAGGTCATCTGTCAATTAACAGTCAATGTTATGATTTTAGAGTAAAACCAGTATTTTCCCAGAGACAGTGCTAAAAGCTTTTACAGTAGGTGGCACTCTTGCATTACATTAAGAGCTCAGCAAAGAAGACGCAGAAGCCTCAGGTTTGCCTTGTAAGGTGATTAATAAACACACTAAATCTTCCTTAGGTCTCCCTTTCACTGTCAGGGTACCCATATAGATTTTCCCTCCTCCCTCCAATACAGGTACGCATCCTCTATAGGTGGTGCATTTTATACCTCAAGTACTTCATGGAGTCCTAGTGAGTGTAATGCAATAGGCAGTGATTCACATTTGTGCAAACTCCCACTGATGCCTGCTGTCTGCTTCCCTTAGAGTTCAAGTCCATCACTAACCCCTTGATTATGTGTCCTCACTGGGCCATTCTGTACACAGTTTAGTTTGACAAGTGCATGTCACTGTTATTTGTCCCTCTTTCAAGAGAAAGCACATCAGTTTAATTACTCCCCCACTAAGAACTCTTCAAATGAGACTCCTCTTCTCTCTCTCATCAACCCATCTTCTCCCTTTCCTCCTCAGTGTCAACATCCCTTCACATAAATCCTGAATGATGAAATTTTATTTAGAACTTACACTAACTTCCTCTCCAAGGTGGCATCTAACTTAATATTAAGTAAGAAATAGCCTTCCCACTCTCCACCCCCATACTTCTCATCCACCACTGCTTACTTTTTTTTTTTTTTTTTTTGGCCAAGTCTCAAGTAATTCTGTAACCTAGAAAAGGTCCTACACAAACCCTGTGATCATTCACATTTAAGTAGTTGGGTGGCCCACATCCTTCCCACAAACCCCAAAGTGCCCTCAAGGACTAAAGCCTTTCTCTGAACTCTTCCAGACTGATCTCTATGGTTGTAAAATTGTCCAGGGTCAGTGCATCCTGGAAGCAGCAAGCTTGTGGTGCCTGGGGTTTCCCCAATACTCCCAAAGCACATCCTCACCTGCCCATCTATGATTCACTTCCAGCATTTCATTCATGTGCCTTAAAGGGTCATTGACCACCACAATCCCAAAGCAACCATCAAATGTGCCCAGTTCTCTTTCTGATCTCTGAAAGAGCTCAGAGAGGTCACTGAAAATAAAAGCCTTGGTTCACTTTTGAAGTCATTTCTAAAGCATTTGACATCCTTGGAAGTGCTGGCCATGGGAGCAGTAGTCATAGGGGAAGTTCTCTAAAGGGAGCTATTTGAATTTCAAAGATGTTACTCAATGTGATTCCCCAACTAATGAAGTATAATAAAGGGGGGCTATAATTTATTGCCATTATCAGCAACCTTTTCACCATAGCAGACCAAGGAATATGTGGATAGGGAGGGGAGGGGAAAGCTTTTGGTGATGGTATAGAAGTTATGGAACCTGTAACAGCTATGGTGATGAGAACTAAAATTCAGGTTATAGAAAGGTAACTGGTGGGTGAATGGGTTGTCTACCTCTGCTGGTTTTTCCCTGTACTACGATTTAAATTCACAGAACCACAGTACTAGAAAGACCCTTAGAACATTTAGTCAACCACTTCATTAATCAGATGAGGAAGCTGAGGCTCATAAAGATTGTAGTTTGTACAAGGCCACACATTTAGTCAGCAGTGAAGCAAGGACAAAGGTCCTAATCTCCAGAGGCCAAGCATGTGTGCACAGTTCCAGAGCTTAATATCTAATTCTTCAGCATGATTACTGATAAGGTAGTATCTGGGTATTGTATAAAGAGAAATGGAGGTTTTCTTCCTCTTTCCTCGAATTTCTCCCTCCCTAATCCTTAACCTTCCTTTATAGGTGCTGCTCCCCTGAAGATTCAAGCTTATTTCAATGAGACTGCAGACCTGCCATGCCAGTTTGCAAACTCTCAAAACCGAAGCCTGAGTGAGCTAGTAGTATTTTGGCAGAACCAGGAAAACTTGGTTCTGAATGAGGTATACTTAGGCAAAGAGAAATTTGACAGCGTTCATTCCAAGTATATGGGCCGCACAAGTTTTGATCCGGAGAGTTGGACCCTGAGGCTTCACAACCTTCAGATCAAGGACAAGGGCTTGTATCAATGTATCATCCACCACAAAAGGCCCACAGGAATGATCCGCATCCACCAGATGAATTCTGAACTGTCAGTGCTTGGTATGTGGTCAATGGTGTGTGTTCAGATTCTTAGCTTTCTCAGATGAGACTGCAGACGAGTTAGAGAAACATTGGAGGAGGACTTGAGGGGCCCAGGGGAAAAAGGGGGTCTATAGAGAGAAGGCAGAGGACAGCCACTTCTGGGAAGTGCATTTGAAGGGAGTGTAGAGTCTGGGAGTAGGGAACTGAAAGTCTTTTGTACTTTTTATAGTCTGCTTCTGAAGGATCAGTAAAAATCTGCTTTGGGGAAAAAATAGAGCTAATTGAACAAAGATAATATGGCTAATTACCCATGGTAAAAACCATAGGTAATTTGGCCATTACAAAGTTTATATAACCGTAAAGGCCTCAGATGTCTCACAATTCATTTTTTCCTTGGGTCCAAGATTTTTCACCTACCAAATCTTTACCTGGAGCTCCTAGCAAAGGGGACAGCTGACACATTTGGGTTTTCCCTTCAGCCTCGTCTAGGTTGCTTATGAGTTGTTTGCAGCCACAACCATGAGCCTGGTAGACAGAAGGGGAAAAAGCCCAACAAACATAACCCGCAAACTTACAAACCAGCTCCTCCACTACACCAGACCTCAGAAGGCCTAAATGTCACTACAGATATTTTTAAAACTATCACACAGTAAACTGTCTACTGATTTTATAGATCGTGTATAGATTAGGTAACCGCCACAAGACATAGAGCATTTCTGTCACCCCAAAAATTTCCCTCAGGCTATCCCTTTATAGAGTCATACTCTGTCCGCACTCATAACCCTTGGTGGGCATCCTATAGTTTTGTCTTTTTGACAATGTCACATAAGTGGAGCCATACAGTATATAACCTTTTAAGACTGGCTTCTTGTGTTTAGCGTGCCTTTGAGATTCACCCAGGTTGTTGCACATATCAAGCTTGTCCCTTTTTATTGCTGAGTAGCATTTTATTGTTGATCCATTCAACTCAGCAAAAGACATTGGGTTGTTTCTGGTTTGGGGCTCTTATGAACAGAGCTGCTGTACACATTCATGTACATGTTTTTGTGTGAACATAAGGTCTCAGTTCTCTAGAGGAAATACCCAGGTGTGGTATTACTGGATCCACGTTAATTTTTGATGAAACTTAGAAAGGCAGATCAACACCTATTCTAAAATCATAGAGTAAAACAGAAGCAAAAGTAAAAATAGAATGGACAGCTGCTCCCTTTGAACCCTGTGTGATTAAAACTAGGCTGCAGGGCTTTGGGAGCAGTTAACCAAGTGCTAAATCCGTGTTTTCAAAATGTGGCCAGGTACCACTGGAAATGTTTTTGGTGGGACACAGATAGACAAGCATTTTGAAAAGCCATGTTGTATTTGTTTTAATGTATATTAGAAAAACTCTAACTTATGCAACATGTGATTTCACAGATGTTGTTAATAAAGCTAAATAACAGTCTGGCAATTCACCTTCTATAGACCACATAAAGTCCAAGAAGAGTGCTCAAATAGTACACCGATACAGCAAAACTTATAAAGATGACACGCAAATGGCAGACCTTTTAGTCAGAATACACTAAATTATAAATTAGTTTGTAGAACCTGCAGACTACCTAGTAACTATAAAAGAACAAGAGATTTTTTTCTGACAGAAGGCACATGACACAGATCTAGGGGCTCCACGCCAGTGATCCTGAACAGCCAGAAAAGTGTGAATGGCAAACAAAGGCAAGAGAAACACTGTGTTTATTAAGATCATGTATTTTTCCCTAAAATAGCTGGATTTGGCCTTCATCTTAGAGTATGTTATGAAGACGCTTTGGTGCTCATGCCAAAAATCAGTGTTCTGAATTTCAAATTCCAAAATGCCCACCCACTCACTTACCACAATCCTGCTTGGGTTCCTGAAAGATATGACCCAGGGCGTCTCAGCACCATGAACTGTCAGTTCCTGGTGAGACTTCAGCTCAATCCCTTTCTGCTCTCTTAGTCTGGTGAGCTGGAATGTGTCCCATGGGACACCTGGGCCCTAGAGTCAGCCCACTTCTCCTTCCAAAGACTTTACTCCCTGGAAATAGTGGCTTCATTATAAATATTTGGGGACTCAATTACAGCCCTCCTATCACTTAGCACCCCCTTGATTTGGATAAGCAGGAAATAAGCATGGCCCCAAACTCTATTGTTGCAAAATAAACATGAAGTCATTATGTGGCACTCACCTTGGGCCAAGGGTCACATTTAGGCATCCCAGGTATGCCCCAGTGAGCCCCAGATCAAGCACCCAGTTATTTGCTATTCCCTCCTAGATGCATCTTAAGATTGACTTTTTGTATCTCTCTTGTGCTTTCAGCTAACTTCAGTCAACCTGAAATAGTCCCAATTTCTAATATAACAGAAAATATGTACATAAATTTGACCTGCTCATCTATACACGGTTACCCAGAACCTGAGAAGATGAGTGTTTTGCTAAGAACCAAGAATTCAACTATCGAGTATGATGGTGTTATGCAGAAATCTCAAGATAATGTCACAGAACTGTACGACGTTTCCATCAGCTTGTCTGTTTCATTCCCTGATGTTATGAGCAACATGACCATCTTCTGTGTTCTGGAAACTGACAAGACACAGCTTTTATCCTCACCTTTCTCTATAGGTAAAGATGTTTTCCAAGACTATTTCTTTCAGCAGGTATTATACACAAATGCTTAACGCAGATTATCCAACATCCCCGACTTGCTAGGAAACCTCCATCTGGGCCATGTTATGACGCTGTTAGGAAGGACCCAGATGGAGGGCTCCTGCTTCGCCTGAGTGATGCAGGGTCCAGGAGGCTATGAGCCTGTGCTGCACTTGAAGAAATAGGCTTTTAGCCCTGAAACTGACTCAGTCTCTTGGTTTACCTTTGGATGGAGGATTCTGAAGTTTTGATTAAAAAATGCAGGTTTCCTCCAGGCTAGAATTCTTTCTTTGATTAAAACACATACATGCGCTTGCACACACACACATCATGCATACACGCATACATACAAATGGTACTTATTGTGAGTGTAGAACCATTTGGGACATTATTGGTTGCAGGAGTGAAAACAAAAAGATATGACACCCCCTCTGCCCTTGAGGACCTTCCAATGGAATCATAACCCTGTAATGTGCACACACGAAAAACGAGATTTTTAAAAGGTCGAATTGGAATCTAAATTTCATTCCATGGAAATATGGGACTAGATTTAAAACAAAAGTGACTGGTAATGAGTTTTATGGGCATTCAGAGGTAGGCAAGATCCCTGAGGGTCAGGGAATGGTTCCTAAAGGAAGGGGTACCTTGTAACACGTAAAATAAATTATTGGGGTTAATACATGTGGTGAGGAGGGAAGGGCATTCTGGATGACAGGTTCCCAAAACTATGGTGACTTCCTTAGCAGAAAAAACTTGAGGCAGAATCTGGGCTCAGCAGGTGAGAGGACCACAATGGATCAGCTGTATCTGACATAAGGCAGGAGGTATGTCAAAGAAAGCCTTGGAGGCAGAAATGCTTGTGTGTTCAGAAGTATTCTTCAGGGACCAGTTCAGTGGAGGAAAGGACTGAAACTAAGCAGTAGGCACTAACAGGAGCCTGACATTTTAAAGTCCTGGTTTTACCCAGGAGGGCATGTGTCTATATTTGACTCCTCTTTTAAGGATCTGTAACTGCAAGATTCCCTCCTGGAATAAAGGTGGCCTGCACCTACCCTGTCCCATCACTGCCTGTGCTGACCTTGACCCCCCACATCTGCCTTCTTCTTTCCTTGACCCTTTCTCCAGCGATGACTCCTTGGCTTGCCCCCTCCAGTGACATCCATCCAACTCCTTGCTCCATTCCCTGGCTTTGTCACCTCCTTTCTCCCAGTGTCTTGTTGTTCAGACATAACTTAGTCTGTGAACAGCCCCTGGGGTCAGTCCCCACGAACCAAGTTTACAACTGGGCCAATCTCATCTCCTACTACTGACTTCTTTCTACTCAGACACTTCAGCCTCTGAGAGTGCAGTAAATGGTGGAGCCACTCATCCTGTCCCAGTTGCTTCTCCTGTATCCTCTCTTGGCCAGATAGAAGCCTCTCCAAGCTATGCCTGGAGTTCAGTACCTCCTTCAATGCGTAATTAGTTTGACTGGTGGCTATCTTGTGGCCACCAACATCACTATATATGACATGCCCCAGAGCCCTCTGTTATGGCTCCCATAGTCTACAAATTAACAGGGACTTGCCACCAATATAACCTCATCATGGCTTACCTTCGTGCTGCTTCTCAACTACTGTTCTGCCAAAACTTCCACAGGTACCCCCATCTTCATAAATGTTTCAGCTCTAGCTGCCTCAGGAAGATGGGGCTTGCCTGTCTGGGTTTCCCATTCTATCACTTGATCAGAGATAGGTTAGACCCTGAATCAAGGGACCTTTTTTGCATATTAAAAGGTAGCAGCCTCCAAGTTAGTAAGTATAATCCCACACCCCCTTTACTGGGAGTGCCAAACTGGCTTAAGTGGGATAGACTGAGACAGACTCAAAAGGGGTTAAATATGGCCTCCAATGTCAACAACTCCTTAACATCTCAGACACAGGGCATGTGTCCACAAATTATAGCTAAGCTAATAGATCAGCTGGTCCTAGTTTTCCTGAAATTTGGAATTAGCTACCAGAACTGTTCCCAAAAATATCTTTAAAGTGGGCGACTCAGTTCTAAGTTTTCCCCACAAAGCCTGTTTTCCAACTCCCCAGAAACTTAGGAGTTCTCATGTAAGGAAGTAGGCCCTGAAGGTGTGAAGTTTCCTCAAGGCATGAAGAAACATCAAAGGATTTTTAGTAGATGAGATATGCTGAAAGCCATACAGAGGAAACCTGCTGTGATCTCAGTAGGAAAAAACTAAACAAACAAGCAAAGGAAAACTAGAGGTAGGGGCCTGTGTGGAGGCTGTTCCATTTGTCCAAGTGAGAGGTGTCTGGAGATTATAGTGGACAGAATCATCATTACAAGAGGAACTTCAGGGCCTGAGAACTGACTGCAGAGGTGGGTGGGGTAGCAGGCATGGCACAAATGACTGCACGTGCAGAGCCTCAGCACACACACCTCACCCAGATTCCAGGATCATGGGCCAGGCTGACCCTCTTCTTCCTGATCATGGTCGGTGTTATCCCCACCTCCAGGAAGGCAGGACACTCAGTCCAGGCATTTGGCCAGAGGCATGGGCTTGATTCTTAGGTCCCTGCTGAGGCCCTGAGACTGGGACTTTCTATGGCCTCCTATTGTGGATTTCAGGCTTCTCTGGCCTTAGAGCCCTAGGGAGAGCCTGGCAGGTAAACAAAGAGAAGAGCAGCTAGCAGAAACCCTTTGTAAATGACTCTCCTGGCTGATTGAAAATTTGTGGTCATTTGTAGAGCTTGAGGACCCTCAGCCTCCCCCAGACCACATCCCTTGGATTACAGCTGTACTTCCAACAGTTATTATATGTGTGATGGCTTTCTGTCTAATTCTATGGAAATGGAAGAAGAAGAAGCAGCCTCGCAACTCTTATAAATGTGGTGAGTCAGTCCTTGTCCTCCCCACAGACTGCCACTTTGCACCTACTTCCCAATCGGCTGGCTGCCTTCTGGAGCTTGTTGTCTGAGCCTAGACTGGCAAAAAGTCAGGAAGTTGTTGGGAAAAAAGGTTTTCCCTTGGAGTTTTGAGCCTATACAAACTGGCAGCAGCTGATAATGTTGCTCTTGGACTTCAAAGAAAGGCAACACTTCTAACCTCAGGTTTACAAATGTACTTCTGATTTCCAGGGAAAACTGATTACTTACTTTATCTACCTCACTTCCTGAGGTTACTGTGACATATACATAAAGTAAAATGGTGAAACCACTCTTAAATGTTAAAGGTTATGGACCTGGTTGTGTTCAAGCAGGGATATTTGCTAAATGACCACAAGAATCAGCTTCTCATCTCTAAAAAAATCTAGGTTTCTTATTAAATAAGTTAGATGAATTATTGCCCATTGACCTATAACAAACAATATTAACTTTTACTAATTTCTAAGTAATACATATCCATTATCATATATACCAAAAATAAAATCATCTATAATTCCAGTAGTAAGAAAAAATGATTACACAAACATTTTTGGTGCCTATCTTTAAGATTTTTCTATGTATCAATCTATGTTGTTTTCCATAATTAGGATTATCATAAGGGTTATTTTTCACAATTTGGATAATATATGTACTGTGTTCTAACTTTGTTATACTAAATGTAGCAAGACAATTTTCAATGCCATAAATATCATTCTACAGCATCATTTTAAACTGCTGCAAGATATTCCCTTATGTGGATACACCTTAATTTATTTATTTAACCAACCTCATTTTTTGGACACTTGAGTTAGTCCAATAGTTTTCTTATTATAAACATCCTCCCCACTGACTTCTGTTATAAAAATGTTTAATGAGGACAAAATGGTCCCTAACTTTGTGACAATGCCATGCCTTTTTGTAGTTTGGGCTGGTTCGAAGATAAGATTGGACTTTATCTCAGTAATTGCCTCCAGTAGTAATTAGTTTGGTGCTAATAATTAAGGTAACCTTCTTACTCACTTATGGTAGAAAGCACAAGATGAGTATTTCCTCTGGCCAGCATCTTGTTTTTCAGTATACTGATTTTAAAATCTATCTAGAAAATAGATGGATGACATTAGCAGTCATTCATTGCATCCTGCTGTACTTTAAAAATAAGAAATTGGGGAGCAATGATCAAATTTAAATAAATTAATACAAAGCATGTGGCAGAGCCATTCAAACTGCCAATGTATGGAGTGTGCTGAGAGATTTCTATGATATAAAAGTATAAAATTCATAGCACAGATGTAAAGACATATCATGCTTGTCCAGGCTTTGACTTTTCAAGGTGAGAGTTTTGAGCTTCACTTTCTTTCAATCTCATTGCCATTTAGAATTAGTCAAATATGAAGAAGCGACTTACATCTTGGGAGTAAGCTGTTTCCTAAATTTTTCTTCACATTACAATGATCAGCTTACAAATGAAACAAAGAAGGGATAGAGAAAAAGATTAAGGATGTTTCTTCCCCCATGAGGCAATGAGAAAAAAATCAGGAGAGTAGATAGGGGAGATAAAGAAGATATGTGTGTTCACATGAAAGAAGTTAGAAGGTGGTTAAACAAGCTCTTTGGGTACAGATGAGATGGTCAGATTGGGCTGAGTGGCACATATATGACCCCCAAGAATGTAATGAAGAATATTGGTAAGAAAAAGTTATTTGTTCAGGCAGTCATCCATGCCAGTGAGTTTGATCAAAGAGAGAAGCCTTGCTATCACTGTAGGGAGGGAGATGCAACAGGTATAACTATGCCATTAGAGATATGAGATATTTGTAAATTTGGATTCTGTAACTTCAGCAATATCTACCCTTGCTTTGTGGGTACTCCTGGCATTGGCTATGTGATAGGCAAAATAATGCCCCCCATAAGATGTCCATCTCCTATTACAGAACCTGTAATATGTTATCTTACATGGCAAAGGAACTTCACATAGGTGATTAAGGCACCAAGCTTGAGATGGTGAGATTAGCCTGGATTATCCAGGTGGGCCCAATGTAATCACATGAGTCAGAGAATCTTTCCTAAATGGGATAGAGAACTGAACTGGAAAAAGGAGGAGAGATCTGAAGCTTGAGAAGCTCAACCCAGCATTTCTAGCTCAACCCAGCATTTCTAGGAGGAAGCCATGACCCAAGGAATGTAGGTAGCTTCTAGAAGCTGGAAGTGGCTCTCAGTTGACAGCCAGCCATTAAGGAAATTAGGATCTCAGTTCTGCAATTATAAGGAGCTGAATTCTGCCAAGAGACCAATGTGGAAACAGCAGATCCCTCCACAGAGACACAAGCTTACTGATAACTGGTAGGAATTTCTCCAAAAGTGGAGCTTCCTCCTACTCCAGTGTTAATCCCTTTCTCGGAGGAGACAGCCCTCAAACTAACTTGGCACCAAAAGTCCTGTCCAATGTTTTCTCATTATAGATTTTCTATGCCTCAACTGTACATATTTACCCTGTTTAGGCTGTTTAAATGAATAAAAGGGAAATGCCATAGTTATTCTAGCCAGTTTCCAACCTCTTTTCTCTTTTTTTGTTTTGTCAAATAGGGCACATAAGGCATGAGAATTTGTAACTATGAATTACTGTCTTTTCCGAAACAGAAATCACCCTATCAGCTTACCCATTGGGAGAAAGACAAAAATGAACTGTTTCTGAAAACAGTTGTTTCATATATTTTGTCTGCTTTCTAGTTGTTTATGGAAAGAGGGCAATTCCTATAGCAGTTAATCTTTTGTTGGAGGAAGCAGAAGTCTGTTTGATCAAACCCTGAAATTTTACTTCCTCATTTGGGTCTTGTGTGACTGAAATCTGTATATAATGCCCTAGCAACAGTTTTTACAACTTGCCTCTCTAGAACAAACCTAGGAGTCTCAGCTCTTTCAGGAATGATTTCTTAAAGGTACAGTGTCTTTTTCAAAACAAATTATTATTATTATTATTTTTATTTATTCATTTTTTTGTGAGACAGAGCCTCATTCTGTCACCAGGCTAGAGTGCAGTGGCACGATCCCAGCTCACTGCAGCCTCTGCCTCCCAGGTTCAAGCGATTCTCCTGCCTCAGCCTCCCAAGTAGCTGGGACTACAGGTGTGTGCCACCACACCCAGCTAATTTTTGCATTTTTAGTAGAGACGGGGTTTCACCATGTTGGCTAGGATCGTCTTGATCCGTTTTTAACCAACATTTAAACAGAAATATTCACAGGCTTAAAAACTGAAAGTTAGTGATATCACATTTTCCCTTCAAAATGCTAAATTTGTAATCAAATTTAAAAGTTTAGAATCTACCTTTTAATTATCTGCTTTCATTTTTTTGATAGTGGCTCTTTTTGATATGATGACTATTTTGTCATGGGTATAAAAGGATAATTTATTTTGTGTTAGTCTGAAGACATCTGAAACACTGTATTCAACTATAAGTACCATTTTTTTACATTTATAATAAGATTATTTTTCAACATTTTTATTTCAATAGTTTTTTGGGAACTATTGAACTAAACTAAGTGATTTTTGGTTACATGGTTAAGTTATTTAGTGGTGATTTCTGAGATTTTGGTGCCACCCATCACCCGAGCAGTGTACACTGCACCAGTGTGTAGTTTTTTATCCCTCACCCCTCCCACTCTTTCCTCTGAGTCCCCAAAGTCCATTATATTATTCTTATGTCTTTGCATCCTCATAACTTAGCTCCCACTTACAAGTGAAAACATACAATGTTTGCTTTTCCATTCTTGAGTTACTTCACTTAGAATAATGGTCTCTGGTTCCATCCAAGTTGCTGCAAATGCCATTATTTTGTTTTGTTTTGTTTTTTGTTTTTATGGCTGAGTAATATTCCATGAGTTATATATGCCACATTTTCTTTATCCACTCATTGGTTGATGGACATTTAGGTTGGTTCCTTATTTTTGGAATTGCAAATTGTGCTGCCATAAACATGCATGTGCATGTGTCTTTTTCATATAATGAATTCTTTTCCTTTGGGTAGATACCCAGTAGTAGGATTCCTGAATCAAATAGTAGAGTTCTACTTTTAGTTCTTTAAGGAATCTCCACACTGTTTTCCGTAGTTTTTGTACTAGTTTACATTCCTACCAGCAGTGTAAACATGTTCCCTTTTCACCATATCCACGCCAACATCTATTATTTTTTATTTTTAAATAATGGCCATTCTTGCAGGAGTAAGGTGGTATCTCATGGTAGTTTTAATTTGCATTTCCCTGATAGTTAGTGATATTGAACTTTTCTTCATGTTTGTTGGCCATTTGTATATTTTCTTTTGAGAATTGTCTATTCATGTCCTTATAAACACCATTATTTTTAAGAAGAAACTTTACAAAAGTAAAACACAGATTTATAAAGCATCTGGGAGCTCAGTCAAATAAGAAATAGCTCAAGTAACTGAGGATGCTTCACCTGAAAGAAGGCCTAGAGAGAACAGAGATGCTGTCTTCAAATATCTGAAGAGCTGCCATAGGATGCAAAGATTGAACTTAATGGTATGACTCTGAAGGGTATCTCAATGAATGAAGGTTATGAGAGGGTGTAAGGAATTAAGAGAGACTTTTCTAACAATTAAAAGGTCTTTTAGGCCAGGAGTGATGGCTCACACCTGTAATCCTGGCACTTTCGGAGGCCGAGGCAGGCAGATCACCTTAGGTCAGGAGTTCGAGACCTGCCTGGCAAAACATGGTGAAACCCCATCTTTACTAAGCATACAAAAATTAGCTGGGTGTGGTGGTGGCCACCTGTAATCTCAGCTACTTGGGAGGCTGAGACAGGAGAATTGCTTGAACCTGGGAGGCAGAGGTTGCAGTGAGCCAAGATCGCACCACTGCACTCCAGCTGGGGTGACAGAAGAACCAGATTCCGTCTTAAAAAATATAAATAAATAAATAAATAGTCTTTAAAATTTTATAGAATAAATAGACTTCTGCTTCCTCCAACAAAAGATTAACTGCTATAAGAATTGCCCTCTTTCCATAAAAAACTAGAAAGCAGACAAAATATATGAAACAACTGTTTTCAGAAATCAGACGACAGAGAGCAGAAAACTGTAGTCCCTGAGTGAAGGAAAGAAAAAATGAGATAAGCCCTATGATTGCTCCAGTTTACTGCCTGGAGCCAGTGTCCAGGCTGCTCTGAAGGCAGGGGAGCCCTGATACTGAACTAGGAAAGACATTGCAAGAAAAGAAAACTACACACATCTCTTGTGAAATGCTTAACAAAATTAGCAACTAAAATCTAGTAGTATGTTAAAAGTATAATACCTCATGATCAAGTGGGGTTTATTCAAGAAACACAGGTAAGCTCAACATTCAAAAATCAGGCAATAACCTTTACTACATAAATAAACTAAAAAGAAAAAACATATGATCATGTCAATGGATACAGGAAAAGCTTTTGACAAAATTAATACCCATTCACAGTTTTAAATGGAAAGAAAAACTCTCATAAAAATAGGAATGCAAGATGACTTCCTCAACCTGACAAAGGACATCTACCAAAAATTCTTCTGTTAACATAATATTTCATGATAACAGATTGATTGCTTTTACCCTAAGATGGGGAATAAGGGAAAGATGTCCACTCTCTCTACTTTTGTTCAACATTGTCCTGGAGGTCATAGCCAGAGAAACAAGACTAGAAAAAGAAAGAAAAGACACACAGATTGGAAAGGAAGTAAAATGGTCTTTTTACACAGATAATGATCATGCTTGTAGAAAATCCTGAGGAAGCTATCAAAAACCTATTAAAACTGATAAGTGAGTGTAGCAGAGGCACAGGATACAAAGTCAATACACAAAATCAATTATTTCTATATACTAACAACAAGCAATTGTACATTGAAAAAATAGCATTTGCAGTAGCATCAAATAATATTAAAAACTTGGAAATAAATTTAACAAAACAAATACAAGGCCTATATACTGAAAACTATACAATATTACTACTGAAGAAATTAAAGTAAACCAAAATAAATGGAGACATAGGCCATGTTTATGAATCAGAAGACTAGATGTTGTTAAGATATCAGTTCTCTCCAAGTTGATCTATGGATTAAATGTAATCACAATCAAAATCCTCATAAGCTCTTTAATAGATATTAAAAATCTTACTCTAAAAGTTATAGGGAAATGCAAAGAACCTACAATTGCCAAAACAATTCTGAAAAATAAGAACAAAGGTTAAAAATACAAAATTAGCTGGGCGTGGTGGCGCATGCCTGTAATCCCAGCTACTCCGGAGGCTGAGGCAGGAGAACGGCTTGAACCCAGGAGGCAGAGGTTGCTGTGAGCTGAGATCGCGCCACTGCACTCCAGCCTGGGCAACAAAAGCAAAACTCCGTCTCAAAAAAAAAGAAAAAAAAAAAAAAAAGGTGGATTTAACCTACCTAATTTCAATATTTACTATATAGTAATAGTAATTAAGACAGTGTGATATTGGTAAAAGGACAGACATATCAGTCAATGGAACAAAATAGAGAGTCAAAAATAGATTCACCCTGTTGACAAAGGTACCAAGGTAATTCCACGCAGATAGTCTTTTCAACAAATAGTGTTGGGACAATTAGATATCCACAAGGAAAAAGTATGAACCTAGACACACACAAAGTAACTTAAATATTAAGAATTAAAATGAAAAGACTTCTGAAAGAAAACAGAGGAGAAAATCTTTGTGACTTTAAGTTAGGCAAGTCTTCTTAGATAAGACACAGAAAGCAAAAACCATATCATAAACAGATAAAATGGATGTCATCAATATTGAAAACTTCTGTTTTTTGACTTTGTTTAAAAAAGGAAAAGTCACTGGGTGCGGTGGCTCACGCCTGTAATCCCAGCACTTTGGGAGGCCGAGGCGGGCAGATCACGAGGTCAGGAGATCGAGACAATCCTGGCTAACACAGTGAAACCCCGTCTCTACTAAAAATACAAAAAATTAGCTGGGCACAGTGGCGGGCACCTGTAGTCCCAGCTACTCGGGAGGCTGAGGCAGGAGAATGGCGTGAACCCAGGAGACGGAGCTCGCAGTGAGCCGAGATAGCGCCACTGCAGTCCGGCCTGGGCGAAAGAGCGAGACACCGTCTCAACCAAAAAAAAAAAAAAAAAAAAGGAAAAGTCAAACCACAGACAGGGAGAAAATGTTTGTTTGCAAAATATGTATCTGATAAAGGACTTGTATGCAGAATATGTAATTACATATTGCTACTCATTAGTAAGACAGTCCATTTAATAAAAGGCAGGAAACGAGAGACTTGAACAGATACATAACAGAAGAAGATATACAAATGGCTGATGAGCACAGTCACAACATCATTAGTCATCAGGGAAGTACAAATTAAAACTATAATAAGATACCACTGCACACCCTCTAGAATGGTCTGATAAACATCAAGTGTTGGAGAAGATATGAAGCAACTGAAACTCTCATGTACTGCTATACAACCCAAAATCCTAGACTTTTACCAAACAGAAATTTTAAAAATATATAAAAACTCATACACAAATGTTCATAGCAGCTTTCTTCATAATACCAAACCTGGCATCCTAAATTTACATCAGTTGGTGAATGCATAAACAAATGGTGGTATATTTATACACTGAAATACTGCAAAGCTATAGAAAGGAATGAACTACTAACAATACACAAGAACATAGATACATTTCAAAAGCATTATGCTAAGTGAAACAATCCAGGCACAAGAAGAATACACATTATACAATTTCATTTATATGAAATTCGAGAAAAAGCAAAACTATTGTAGGTAGACTCATGGTTATCCATGGGATGGGGGAAAGGAATCAGCTAAAAAGGAGTAGAAGGGAACTATTTTGGCTTATGGAAATGTTCTCGATCTTGATTGTGGTTACAATCTTGGTGGTGGTTACGTGACTATATATATTCGTTAAAATCACCAAACTCGGCCGGGCGTGGTGGCTCAAGCCTGTAATCCCAGCACTTTGGGAGGCCGAGGCGGGTGGATCACGAGGTCAGGAGATCGAGACTATCCTGGCTAACATGGTGAAACCCCGTCTCTACTAAAAATACAAAAAACTAGCCGGGCGTGGTGGCGGGCGCCTGTAGTTCCAGCTACTTGGGAGGCTGAGGCGGGAGAATGGCGTGAACCCGGGAGGCGGAGCTTGCAGTGAGCCGAGATCACGCCACTGCACTCCAGCCTGGGAGACACAGCGAGACTCCGTCTCAAAAAAAAAAAAAAAAATCACCAAACTCTATACTGAAAATGATTGGAAATGATTGGGTTTTATTATTTATTAATTATACCTCCATAAAGCAGATTGTTTTTATCTTTTATTTTTATTTTATTTCAATAGTTTTTGGGGAACAGGTGGGTTTTCGTTACATGGATAAGTCCTTTAGTGGTGATTTCTGAGATTTTGAAGCACCTGTCAACCGAGCAATGTCCACTGTACCCAGTGTGTAGTCTTTTATCCCTGATCCACCTCTCACTCTTCCCCCTGAGTACCCAAAGTCCATTATATCATTCTTCTGACTTTATGGCCTCATAAAAGCTGATTGTTTTTAAATACACACATACACACATAAAAGAGAACTTCCAATGACAGGAAGTGTTCAAGAATACTCTATTTAGTAAAGACAGAATCATAAAACCAACAGAGGTATTGTTGAGTGGATTCTTGTGGTCTATAAATACCTCCATGGACACTCAGGTTAGCAACCTGTTGGGTTTTAAGTGGGACAATAGCATCATCACAACAGTCAGCCTAGAGAAGTTTACATCCCAAGTTGTGTCAGTATCAAGTCCCTATCAATAGCAACTCAGGCTTTGTGAGGTCTAGCTGGCTAGAAATTTCCCACTTGGGCTTGTCCGTGCAACATTGTATAATATTCTTAGCACCATCTGGCTAGTCCATTTAGGCAACAACATCTTCAAGACTTCTTTTCCTCCTCCTTCTAAACCTTGCTTTCAGAAAAGGATTAGAAACTCTTCCAATCGCAAAATGATTGCTAAAACTAAATATATTACCCCTCCCAATGGTATTTTTTGGTTAGCCAGGATAGAGCTATAAGCGAAAAATATATTTCCAGTGTTACAATTTAAGGTACAGTGAGCAAGGGAAGGCATATACTTTTTGAATGCAAGAAACTTCTTCCCAATGCCCCTGAAATTGCATCATTTAAGTAACTGTCTCTTCCATATAAAAAGTCACAACAATTTCTCTCTGAGTCCCAGAACTTTGAAGCCTTTTCAAACTTTCCTTCTTTTGGTATCTATGAGGAATACATTTTTGAAGATTGGTCTTGGTGTCTTTCAGGAACCAACACAATGGAGAGGGAAGAGAGTGAACAGACCAAAAAAAGGTAAATCCTGACCCTGAGACATTGATGAGAGAGGTATAATCCCCAGAGTGCCTGTTATTTGAATAGGCTTATGCCTAAGGCATGTTGAGACCTCAACAAACCTGAACTAATAGAGAGGGAGAGGAAAATAAGACTAGTTAAGACCTAGAAGAAAATAACCTGTTAATGGATGACAGGGTATCCAATGCACAATGCCCAGAAAGCATGACAAGCTCCGTCATGGTCAAGCAAAAGTCAATACCAAAGATTTCAGAGGTGGTGAACCTGGGCTGCATCTTGTCTGCCACAGTAACCCCAGTACCTAGCACAGTGCCTAGATTAGTGGGCATCCTACATGCGTGGAATGAAAAAATGAAGAAGTGGGGAATGATAACATGTTTGCTTCAGCCTGAGCATCTTAGTATTTGCTATGACCCTGTTTAGATGTTCGTCTGCTACTTCTTTACCTCATTCTTCAGATCTTGCCTCAAGCAACACTTTCTTAAAAACCGTTTCCCAAACTAGAAAATGTCCACTTGTTACAGTGTCATGTGGATCCCTTGGCTTTTTCTTAATAACACCAGATTATGCTTAAATATTTGTGTAATTATCTTATTAAACTCTATAAACTAGACTAAACTAAATACTATGAAGAGCAGAGACCATACCAGTTCAGCTCATCATTGTGCTGCTAGCACTTAGCATGGTGCCTGGCATATAGCAGGTTCTCAATAAATGCTTATTGAAAGAATGATTGATGCATGATGAATACATAAAAGTTCTTGGTGATCAGTCCTTTCACAATGTGAAAGATAGTCTGTAACTCTAGCCCTCCTGAGAAATTAAGCTCTCAGGAATATTAAGACTCTGACTGCATACCCATAGGATCAAAGCAACCCTCAGTCACAAGCCTGGTTTCAGAGACAGGGTCATAACCCCCAGGGTGCACAGACAACCAAGAGAGCCCAGCACTAATCCAGATATACCAGCCACTGTGATTCTAGCAACAAGACTAATAATTCCGGGCACCCCTGGACAATGAGAAAGGGTGCTGAAATCCTGCCTACCCTGTCAGATTCAGTTTCAGAAATAGTCTGGAAGAGCCTGAAGAGGGCAGGCAGCAGAGAATCAGCAGAGGGCATGGGAAGGGCCAGGCAGAAATAAACAGTAGTTGTTGATGCATAGACAACAGTGTAGACCATGGTTATTTTCTCTTGCCTTCTCCACCTTTCTCTTCAATAGTTCGTTTCTCCTCATTGCTGTTCCAATGGCAACCTCTATTGTGCCCTATCATTGAAATCTAGAAAAAGAAAGTAGCTCAACTGTGAAATATCACCTAATCTTTTCTTCTATTTTTTCCAGAGAAAAAATTAATGTACCTGAAAGATCTGATGAAGCCCAATGTGTTTTTAAAAGTTTGAAGACACCTTCATGCGACAAAAGTGATACACGTTTTTAATTAAAGAGTAAAGCCCATACAAGTATTCATTCTTTCTACCCTTTCCTTTGTAAGTTTCTGGGCAACCTTTTTTATTTCTTCCAGAAGGCAAAAAGACATTACCATCAGTAATAAGGGGGCTCCAGGACTCCCCCTAAGTGGAATAGCCTCTCTGTAACTCCAGCTCTGCTCAGTATGCCAAGAGCAGAATAATTCTCTTATTGCTTCTTTTCACTTCAGAGCACAGTTATGGGCCAAGCCCAGCTTAATGGTTCATGACCCGGAAATAAAATTTAGGACCAATACCTCCTCCAGATCAGATTCTTCTCTTAATTTCATAGATTGTATTTTTTTAAATAGAACTCTCAATTTCTGGAAAACTGCCTTTTATCTGCCCAGATTTCTAAGCTGGTGCCCCACTGAATCTTGTGTACCTGTGACTAAACAACTACCTCCTCAGTCTTGGTGGGAGTTATGTATTTAAGACCTTATGTTGTTAATATTTTGAAACATGGAGATCTATGTACTGTAATAGTGTGATTACTATGCTCTAGAGAAAAGTCTACCCCTGCTAAGGAGTTCTCATCCCTCTGTCAGGGTCAGTAAGGAAAATGGTGGCCTAGGGTACAGGCAACAATAAGCAGACCAATCTAAATTTGGGGAAATTAGGAGAGGCAGAGACAGAACCTGGAGCCACTTCTATCTGGGCTGTTGGCTAATACTGAGGAGGCTTGCCCTGCCCAACAAGCCCTAGTGGAGAGAACTGAATAAACAGGGAAGTGCTGGAGCTTGTGAACCCTGTTTCTCTTGAAGAACTGACCAGTGAGATGGCCTGGGGAAGCTGTGAAAGAACCAAAACAGATCACAATACTCAAAAGAGAGAGAGAAAAAAAGTGAGATCTTGATCCACAGAAATACATGAAATGTCTGGTCTGTCCACCCCATCAACAAGTCTTGAAACAAGCAACAGATGAACAGTCTGTCCAAATGGACTTAAGATAGACAGCAGTTTCCCTGGTATTCAGGGAGGGGTTTTGGTGATACCCAAGTTATTGGGATGTCATCTTCCTGGAAGCATAGCTGGGGAGGGAGAGCCATCATCTTGATAATGGGATGAATGGAAGGAGGCTTAGGACTTTCCACTCCTGGCTGAGAGAGGAAGAGCTGCAATGGAATTAGGAAGACCAAGATGGAGATCACCCAGGGGCTTACTTAGCCTACAGATGTCCTACAGGAACATGGGCTGGCCCAGCACAGAGCTAGCAAATTTGAGTTGGATGATTGTTTTTGCTCAAGGCAACCAGAGGAAAATTGCATACAGAGACGGATATACCGGGAGAAACGACTTTGGAAACCTGGCTCTAAGGTGGGATCAGTAAGGGATGCGGCAGTCTCTGTCCAAACCTAAAGAGAACTCTGGGGGGGCCTGAGCCACAAAAAATGTTCCTTTGTTTTATGTAAACAACCTTCAAGGGTTGTAGACTGCCATGCTAGATAAGCTTGTCCATGTAATATTCCCATGTGTGTACCCTGCCCCTGCCTTGATTAGACTCCTAGCACCTGGCTAATTTCTAACATGTTTTGTGCAGCACAGTTTTTAATAAATGCTTGTTACATTCATTTAAAAGTCTACATTTTCTGCTTTGGCTTCAAGAGTACTACTCAACCCTTGTGGTCTGATATTCCCCACTCTGTCCTCTGAATGTACTTCCTTTCTCTTTATATCTGTATGGCTAGAAGCCTCTGACGCATGCTATATCTTCTCCTCCTCTCTTTCCACTACCATTATTTGAGAAAGGAGGCTTGTATACTTCTATATGTTTATCTCAGTAATGAGTCAGAAAAAAATCAAGTAAGAATGGTTGTTTTAGAGGACAACTAAGAAATCTGGAATAAGGAAGGGAAGCTTACTTTTGAGTTTGTAACCTGTAATGTGTAACTTTTAAATTATATGCTTATATGTACATTAAACAAAAGTTTAATGTAAAAATATTCCTTGAAAACACCATGATTATAAAATAAGTGCATATATACATACAACATGTGAGAGGAGCCAGGAAAATTCTGGACAAAAAAAAATGACCTAGACTCTGTGAGGGCAGGAATGTGTTTAATTTCTCACCAATGGATCCCAGGTACCTAAGATAGTTGTCTATCCTATTGTCCATCTTTTTGTCTTTTGTTCTATTTCTTAAAGATTTCCTCAACTTCATCTTCTAACTTCTGTTGTATTTTTATTTCTGCTATCATGTATTCTTTTCAGAATTCTTTTTTCTTCTCTCAAAACATATTTGTTTAAAGATTGAATGAAATATTAACATGCCCTATGGTGAGAACATCCCTCCTTTGTATATTAAATTCGCTAAACTACTGTATTCTAAGACTAGGGGAAAGAAAAAGGAGGTTGAAAGAGGTCATTAGGCAGAATAGTACTAGCTAACGTTATTTCACATTTACCATATACCAGTCGCTCATCTAAACCTTTAAACTCATTATCCTGTTTAATCCTCACAATGACCCTGTGACATAGGTAATGGAATATTATGCCCATTATGCTGATGAGAAAATCTAAACACAGAGATGAGTCAGAGTAATTTACCCAACACTGTTAACTTTGTAAGTGGCAGAGCTCGGTAACAGGCAGAGGTTGGAAGAGTTTGGAGGGCTCAGAAGAAGACAGGAAGATGTGGGAAAGTTTGGAATGTCCTAGAGACTTGTTGAAATGCTGATAGTAATATGGACAATGAAATACAGGCTGAGGTGGTCTCAGATAGAGAAGAGGAACTTGCTGGGAACTGGAATAAAGGTGACTCTTGCTATGTTTTAGCAAAGACATTAGTAGCATTTTGTCCCTGCCCTAGAGATTTGTGGAACTTTGAACTTGAGAGAGATGATTTAGGGTATCTGGCAGAAGAAATTTCTAAGCAGCAAAGCATTCAATATGTAACTTTTGTGCTGTTAAAAGCACTCAGTTTTATGTATTCCCAAAAATATGGTTGGGAATTGGAACTTATGTTTAAAAGTTTGGAAAATTTTGGAGCCTGACGATATGATAGAAAAGAAAACCAATTTTCTGAGGAGAAATTCAAGCCAGCTGCAGAGATTTGCATAAGTAAAAAAGAGCCAAATGTTAATTGCCAAGACAATGGGAAAATGTCTCCAGGGCATGTCAGAAGTCTTCACAGTAGCCCTTCTCATCACAGGCCAAGAGGCCTAGGAGGGAAAAATGGTTTCCTGGGCCAGACCCAAGGCATTGCTGCTTTGTGCAGTTTCGGTACTTGGTGCCCTGCATCCCAGCCATGGCTAAAAGAGGCCAAGATGCAGTTCAGGTCATGCCTTCAGAGGGTGCAAGCCCCGAATTTTGGCAGCTTCAGCACAGTGAGCCTGCAAGTCAAGAATTGAGGTTTGGGAACCTCGCCATAGATTTCAGAGGATGTATGGGAACACCTGGATGTCCAGGCCAAAGTTTGCTGCAGTGGTAGGGCTCTCATGGAGAACCTCTGCAAGGGCAGTGCAGAAGGGAAATGTGGGGTTGGACCTCCCACACAGAGTCCCCACTGGGGCACTGCCTAGTGGAGCTATGAGAAGAGGGCCACCATCATCCAGACCCCAGAATTGTAGGTCCACCAACAGCTTGCACCATGCACCTGGAAAAGTCACCAAAACTCAATGCCAGCCCATGAAGGAAGCCAGGAGGGGGCTGTACCCTGCAAAGCCACAGGGGCTGAGCTGCCCAAGGCCATGGGAGCCCACTTCTTGCATCAGCATGACCTGGATATGAGAGATGGAGTCAAAGGAGAAAATTTTGGAGCTTTAAGATTTCACTGCCCCACTGGATTTTGGACTTGCATGGGGCCTGTAGCCCCTTTGTTTTGGCGAATTTCTCCCATTTGGAATGGGTGTATTTACCCAATGCCTGTATGCCCATTGTATATAGGAAGTTACTAACTTTCTTTTGATTTTACAGGCTCATAGGCAGAAGGTACTTGCCTTGTCTCAGATGAGACTTTGGGACTTGGACTTTTGGGTTAATGCTGGAATGAGTTAAGACTTTGAAGGACTGTTGGAAAGGCATGTTTCGAAAAGTAAGGACATGAGATTTGGGAGGAGCCAGGGGTGAAATTATATGGTTTGGCTGTGTCCCCATCCAAATCTCATCTTGAATTGTAGTTCCCATAATCTCCATGTGTTGTGGGAGGGACCCAGTGGGAGGTAATTGAATCATGTGGGCAGTTACCCCCATGCTGCTATTCTCATGACAGTGAGTGAGTTCTCATGAGATGTGATGGTTTTATAAGAAGCTTTTCTGCCTTTTGCTTGGCACTTCTGCTTCCTATCATCCTGTGAAAGAGGATATGTTTGCTTTCCGTTCCACCCTGATTGTAAGTTTCCTGAGGCCTCATCAGCCCTGCTGAACTGTGAGTCAATTAAACCTCCTTCCTTTATAAATTAGCCAGTTTTGGGTGTGTCTTTGTTAGCAGTGTGAGAAGGAACTAATAAATACATTAACCTAGGCTTGAAAGCAAAGAGTCATCTCTGATGACTGCATTCAACCTTTCCCTCAGCACCCACTGCTCACTCCTTCCCTCCTGTCTCATTCTGTTATCAGTCATCACCAGGCCAGGAAAGCATCCTCCCACTTTCACATCCACCTCTTCTTTTCTCATTCAGGACCTTATTTATTCATACCAAGAAAATGACAGTCACTTCCCAACTGATCCCAGTCTCCTGTCTCTCTTACCCTGCATTCTGTCTAACATGCCAAGGGAAACAAGAAGGTAAATAGTGAAAAGAAGGTCTCCCTCACATTCCCTTTCCCTAGCCACACAACTTTGATCTCCAGCTTCCTGGGTATCCATTCGTAGTCACACTATGCCTATAAGTGTGTGTACACACACATGCACATATTCCCCTTATTCAGGCAGATTTGGTTTTAATTTACACCACAGTCTAAAGAAATCAGAATACTCTTGCTAGGATGATTGATATCAGTTTTCAGTGTAATCCTTCATATTAAAAACATACATCTGTATGTATAAGTTTTCATTCTCACCAACATTCTAGCATTATTGTGGAT